AGGTCCGCGGGGGCATCATCTCGAGTTCTCAGGGGGCACTATCCCGAGTTCTCCGCAGGCACCATCCCAAGGTCGGAGAGGGCACCATCTCGAGGTTCCGGTGCACCATCCCAAGGTCTCCGGCGACACCATCGCGAGGTCTGGGGGCACCATCCCGAGGTCTCCGGGGGCACCATTCCAAGTTTCCAGGGGCACTTTTCCGAAATCCAAGGTCTGAAAGAGCACTCTCCCCGGGTCTGAGGGAGCACCATCTCGAAGTCCCAGGGGCACCATCCCAAAGTCTCAGGGGCATCATCCCGAGGTCTCAGGGGACGTTTGATCCGCGCCGTCCGGGGAGGCGTTTTTACGCCCCCTAGGTTTTTCGCGAATATCTCAAAAACGGCGACGCGTAGCGCCGCTGTTTTAGATACACCCGTTCCGACATTTTCTTCGCACATGCTATGGAAATTTCAGATCCCGGTCATTCAAGGTCAGGTCACCATGTAACGTCAAGTGACCTTACCTCAGAAAAAGTTAGAAAGCTCGCTGTAGCTACACCGACTAAGCGATCACTTTGAAACTTTCAGTACTTGCTTAGGGTAACAGTAGGGGAAGGTGGGGTAAGACGGACCAGCTAAGGTTTGAGGCCGCATATCTTGCTACACTGCTCTCGTAATTCATATTATTTATAGTCTTCGGAATGCTCAATCCTTCCTCTGTTGATATGTGTAAAGACTAAATTTCAAATTAAAGACATCTAGGTGGTGGATGCTCTTAAAGAGGGACATGTCAAAAACTCAGACAAGAAAAAACGTGGGGTAAGACGGACCACCCAGCAGTGCCTGCTATCCGTTCATGTGTGTTACACTTCTGCTCTGTACTCGTGTAAGAAAAAGTAACCAGAATGGTAAAATAACAAAATGAGCCTTTATTCTTTACTCATGTGTGATGAAGTGCAGCTAAAAGCTGGGAACATGTGTGTTGATTGTCGTTTGGTATGAATGCATGCTAACTGAGCACTTGCATGCATGGCTCACATGCAACAAAGACTGCTTCCTGAAAAATAAGTTTACTTAAATTTGTGTCAATGTTTTGGAAAAGAACTTTCCATATGCAGGTTACAATGGACCACCACAGGGTAAGATGGACCACAGTGGTCCGTCTTGCCCCAAATCTAAATTCTGTCAGTATCATGACGTATATGTCAAATAGCCCAACATTGCAAAACCTTGCCTTTCCTTAAGTGTGCCTATAACTAAGTTTATAACTTTATTCTTCACATTTAAGTGCAAAATAGAAACTAATCATGCAAGAAAGGTGCCGTAATCGAATCACCCCTAGACCTCTTATATTAGATCGGTTTGAGGAAAAACAACATTTTTCTCAATAACTCAAAAGCTATGCATCCTAGCAGCATGAGCTCAAGGTGGCCATTGTTACGAAGGAAAACAAACATAGTGAGTGCATAAAGCAGTAGATACCAGCAGCGATTCAGCCGGGAGGGCTGGTGGTCCGTCTTGCCCCGCTGGGCCGTCTTACCCCACCTTCCCCTATGTATAAAATGGATATCTCGGATTTTTTTTATATCTGTGAGTTGTGACCTAAGGTCAGGTCAATTTTGCGACTGCTCCATATAAGTCAATGGGAGAAAATTGAAATGAGCCTCTTTTGGCCGAATGTCGTTCTACACCCTCTCAAACATCGGATCATGTGTAAACATGACACTCTGAATCGGAAAATTGCACCTGTGCCCCCTTTGTGTGCCCCTGAGGTCATCTCAGGTCATGAAAGGTCTTCAGCAGTTTTTTTTACTATAACTTTTGATTTGACAGAGACGTGCTAGAGCGGTGAAAACACGGGGGCTGAACCGTTGATCTGAGGTCAAATTTGAGGTCAATCAGAGCAGTGCCCTCTGGGGCTAAACCGTTGATCTGAGGTCAAATTTGAGGACATGTTGGCGAAAGAGCGTTAAAGTTTACGAAAGAGCGTAAAAGAGCTATCGAATGCGCTTTTCCACGGCGCTGTAGATCTGTTGGTTCCAGAGTTAGCCGTCGGATGTTTAAAATCGTTGAAATCGACAAAATTTGACCTTTGATGAGCTCTGGTGACCTGACCTTTGCCCTGACCTTAAAAATGACCGAGTGTTTTCCTTCTTATTTTTGACGCTCTTTCGATTGCCGCTTACCGCGTGTCGCTACGTGGCCCAGGAGCCGAGTTAGACGGAGGGGCGTGAAACGCCCCCCCCCCCCTCAGCACTCGACGGAAAGTTCATGCCACCAACACGGCGCGGGTGAATTGTTATGTTAGCTAGCTCCTCTTGTAAACTGTGGAATCGTGGACCTGATCTTGAAGGAACTGGGCCTAACATTTTCATAGCAAACGTAAAAAAATGTTTAATAGGTGATGCAAAAAAATATCATCTCTTTTATGAAATATTTGCGAAACCCTCAACATCATCCCCATTAGTGCCGAGCTCCCAACGACGACCATAAAAACGTCCCCATCCCGTCAGCGTGGATTTATCATAGGGATGCTAAGATTTAATTTCCAATCCGAAGCTGAAATGATGGGAAGCACATTTACATTTTACATACGAAACAAACTGACACAACTAAATATTTTCTCTCTCGCTCCCTCTCACTGATTTACCCATTACCCTCTCTCTCATTTTACCCTTCCTGGTTTTCCTTTTCCATCTCTCTTTTCTCTCCTCCCGTCCTTATCCCTTCCCTCCAGTCTTTTTCTCTCTCTCTCTCTCTCTCTCTCTCTCTCTCTCTCTCTCTCTCTCTCTCTCTCTCTCTCTCCAGTCTCCCCTCTCTCCCCTTTCTCCCCTCTCTCCCCTCTCTCTCTCCCTCCCCCTCTCTCCCTCTATCTCCCTGGGAGAGAGGGAGAGTCAGCCGAGAGGGAGAGTCAGCCGAGTCTATATTCTTCCACTCTCTCTCTCTCTCTCTCTCTCTCTCTCTCTCTCTCTCTCTCTCTCTCTCTCTCTCTCTCTCTCTCTGTCTCTGTCTCTGTCTCTGTCTCTGTCTCTGTCTCTGTCTCTGTCTCTGTCTCTGTCTCTGTCTCTGTCTCTGTCTCTGTCTCTGTCTCTCTCTCTCTCTGTCTCTCTCTCTCTCTCTCTCTCTCTCTCTCTCTCTCTCTCTCTCTCTCTCTCTCTCTCTCTCTCTCTCTCTCTCTTTCCTCACATTTACTCGACTGCCACAGCGTTGTAGAACTTGTTTCCAGACAGGTCCAGGCGCTCCCCACTCCGCAAGCCCCAGCCCACACGGCTCAACCGCCCAAACACCCTCCGGCGGATGACCTCCGACTTCGGCGACCTGACCCCAGCCGACCGGACCTATCGCGTCCCTCTCCACGCCTCCGCCCCGCTTCCCCCACTACAACTGCGTAGTAATTGTAGCGTGTGCAAAGGTCACGTGACATTATTTACTTCTGCGGTTTGTTCGGCTGACAAGAGATGGCACTAGTGGTCTGTGGATCAGAGGCGGGGCTAGGTTCTACGACTTCTTGGGGCAACTTTAGGGCAGAAAAGACGTTTTTTGGCTCCTCATCCCAAAATGCTTCGAACATACAAAAACAAGTTAGATATTCGAAAATCGGAGGACCAAGCCGATCGTTTGACGTATCTTGCTCGACTGAGAATTGATCGGTCTTCAAACTACTGAGCAAAAACGAGGTGATTAGTAGCAAGTGCTGGTGACTGTACGTGCTGACACATGTGTTCACTGTTCAATATTGATTTTCCGCGAGAGTGAAGAATCTGCTGTACTTCCTTCAGAAGTATGTCATTGGCATCGACGAAGGGACGAATAACTTCTGGAAAGGTACTGACCTTCCTATCAAAATAGCAGCTAACCTGTCCAGCGTGCTGCCCAGCAGAGCGGAGGGTGGAGGCCTTCAACCGCGCAGGCTTTTCATCACTTGAATGCTGACATGTGACGTTAGGTGCAACTTTCTGAAGCGTTGTTCTGCAAACGCCAGACGTTGAGGTTGCGTGATCTTTGTGGTCAATCACAGCATGACTGGCAGTTCTGCGGTCGTTTTTGTCTTACTCGGCGAAGATATTTGCATTTAATTGCAAGTGTTTCAAAGTGCATGACTGCCGTTGTTTTTATATAATACATACATGTGCTGTTAAAAAGGTCTTGTTTTACCACATATGAGCGTATTTCTGAGGTATTCGCTGACCCGATGGTGCGTTAAAGGGGTACTTCCGGCGGCTCTGCTGAAAGTATCTTTTTTGTTTAGTACCATATAGAGAGTGGTTTTTGACAGAAACCCTATACGACACTAATTTAAGTACGAAGTGGGGTGTGAATCAACACTGAATTTACACCCCAGGGTGTAAAATAACCGCCATAGCCTGATATCCTAGGGTGTAGCGAGGGTGTCTGAAAAGTGTGCATATGGAGGCAGGCTAGAAAAACAGCCTATGTGGTGTTTTTTTTTTTTAGCACGATACAGGTAAGGTAGTGGTTTTGACATCGAAAAGGTTAACTAAGGTCATCTAAGGTAAATGACCTCGACCTAACCTAATCAGGGGTGTAATTTCCCTAAAATGATTGTGGGTGCCCAGCTGTAGCCTTTCTCATAAACATTTGCAAAGTGGATAAAAATCATATACCTTCTCGATATTAACAATGTTTTGACGCCAAAACATGTTTTTAAATCAGCAAATATAAAACATGCAGCCACCAGCCCACCGTTGCCCAACTGAGCTTGGAATTTTTTTTTTGTGCAGTTAACAATGAAGGCTTCAGCTTTACGTTAAGAGCATTATTTTCCAGGTTGCATTCTTCGTTTCGCCATTAGAGGGGGTGGGGCGTCTTTTCCACCCTGGGCATCTTACCCCACTCTCCCCTACGGCATTTTCATGGCACTGAATTGTTGCCGATACTTCTACAATACGGCTTTTCCACGATGCGGCTTTATTCGTGAAAAATATCACAAAACACAAGATCACTTCAAAGAAGAAACACTTTTTTCATCTTGACTAAATACGAATAGAAACTGTAACTTGAAACCATTTTGACTGAATTTATTGTTTCTTCAATCTGATCTCGACGGCATCTTAAATTTTGTTAATGGACAGATATAGCGGCTATTAATAATCAAAACGCGTTTTTGCCTCTCCAGTCTCCTGATCATTTTTGTTTTTGAAAAAACTGACCCAGATACGGTTTTTTCCCTCCGGACGGCAGCTGACTGGCCGGCACAGCAGTGACATACGGTGGACACTGGACGTCGCTGGATTCACAGCACCTGTGCCAGATGCGACGAGGAAAACCACATCACACACACACACACACGCGCGCACACATACAGAGACTAGAAGCCATATCGGACAGAAAGACTGTCCTAAGGCTACGATATCGGTGGGCGCATTGTCGGCACACACACACGCACACGCACACTACAGCAATGCCGAGGCCAGCTGCGTCCGGGCTCGGAGGGAGGGAGAAGCTCCAGACTAGAAGCCATATCGGACAGAAAGACTGCTCTAAGGCTACGATATCGGTGGGCACCGATTGTCGGCCGGCCCCGAGCGCGGGCCTGCAGTGACGATATCGGTGGGCGCCGATTGTCGGCCGGCCCCGAGCGCGGGCCTGCAGTGTCACCGAGCTGCGGCCGCTCAGAGGCTGGCAGCGCCGGCTCGGCGTTCAGAGCGCTCACTGGAGGCGACCCTCTTCAGAGCGCGGTGGCTGGCGCGCGCGGCGCGGGCCAGCCGAGCCAGACAGAGCAGCGCGCCGGACACGCTGACCGCGGCGCCGGCCACCAGAAAAGTCAGCTCGTAGGTGGCCGTCAGGTCATGCAGCAGGCCTGCCGGTGACCGGTGGTGACAGGCGGCACAGACAACGACCAACAACGCCCACACACAACTGAGCGCCACTACCGTCAACAACATCGCAATCCAAGTGCGCTTTCGGTACACTTTGAAGATTCAAATCAACTTAAAAGTTGCCTGCAGTTTTAGCTGTAAATTCCGTTCATCTAAATACTGTAGACTTAGAGCTAGAGTCCACTTCGGTTCGCATTACACTTATTGAAAAAGTGGTATTGGACGATGAAAAAGGCGCACCTCTCAAATCTCGAAAGTACCCAAAATCATTATTTTGAATGCAACTGTACAATCCAAATGCAAGGCGCATTGCGCTTTTCAATCACATCCAATGACAAAAAACGTAAATAAACCCATAAATTTCGGACCACAAAGTGTCTTCGTCTGTAGAAAATTAAATGAATAAAGCTTTTACATTGATGCAATATAAAACACAGCAACTAGACACCACGAAATTGTACACAAACGTAAAGAGGCTGTTACACAGAGGGGCTGTTGCAAAGAGGGGCTGTTACACAGAGGGGCTGTTACACAGAGGGGCTGTTACACAGAGGGGCAGAGTCACAGAGGGGGTGTTACACAGAGGGGGTGTTATACAGAAGGGCTGTTACACAGAGGGGGTGATACACAGAAGGGCTGTTACACAGAGGGGCTGTTACACAGACGGGCAGAGTCACAGAGATGGTAATATTATTTAGCCATTGTGATGTCGGCTGTTGATGGGAGGGGAGGGATAGCGTTTCCTCTCGAGAGCGCCGAGTCAAGAGAACGTCTGTGACTCTGGATAATTCGCTGTGTTGTCGTTACATGATGAAGTATTGCCGCTGGTAGCGACTGTATGATGATTTTTTGTTTGTTTTGTTTTGATTACTGAATCATGTGTGAGACAATAAAGCGATTTGAAGAAAAAAAAGAGATGGTAATATTACACAGAGGGGGTGTTATACAGAGGGACCGTTACAAAGAGGGGCAAAGTCACAGAGGGGGTGATATCATACAGAGGGGCTGTTACACAGAGGAGCTGTTACACAGAGGGGGTGTTACACAGAGGTGCTGTTACACAGAGGGGCTGTTACACAGACGGGCAGAGTCAAAGAACGGGTGATATTACACAGAGGGGGTGTTACACAGAGGGGCTGTTACACAGACGAGCAGAGTCACAGAGGGGGTGATATTACACAGAGGGGGTATTACACAGAGGGACTGTTACACAGAGGGGCAGAGTCACAGAGGGGGTGATATTACACAGAGGGGGTATTACACAGAGGGACTGTTACACAGAGGGGCAGAGTCACAGAGGGGGTGATATTACACAGAGGGGGTGTTACACAGAGGGGGTGTTATACAGATGGACTGCTACACAGACGGGCAGAGTCACAGAGGGCGTTATATTACACAGAGGGGTGTTATACGAAGGGAATGTTACATACACTGAGAAAATTTAAAAACGGGGTGGGGTGTTTTTGCAGTGTATGATGAGTGTCAGACACTTTTAAATGTGTACTGTGACACTTATTACAGTGTCATGAAGCCTGTCATACACGGTTAAAGGTTTAGACACCCTCAAAAACTCCCTTGGGTATGCAGAATAACCACTTACTCATGGGTAAGTGGTTATTCTGCATACCCAAGGGAGTTTTTGAGGGTGTCTAAACCTTTAACCGTTTATGACAGGCTTCATGACACTGTAATAAGTGTCACAGTACACATTAAAAAGTGTCTGACCACTGCAAAAAAACCCCACCCCGTTTTTAAATTTTCTCAATGTAGAAGGGTTGGTACACAGAAGGGCTGTTACACAGACGAGCAGAGTCACAGAGGGGGTGATATTACACAGAGTGGGTGTTATACAGAGGGGATGTTACACAGAGAGACTGTTACAGAGAGGGGCTGTTACACAGACGGGAAGAGTCAAAGAGGGGGTGATATTACACAGAGGGGCTGTTACACAGAGGGGCTGTTACACAGAGGGGCTATTAGACAGAGGGACTGTTACACAGAGGGCCAGAGTCACAGAGGGGGTGTTACACAGAGGGGGTGTTATACAGAGGGACTGTTACACAGAGGAACTGTTACACAGAGGGGCTGTTACACAGAGAGGCTGTTACACAGCCGGGCTGTTACGGACTGGGGACACAGAGGGGGTGTTACACAGAGGGGGTGTTACACAGAGGGGGTGTTACACAGCGGGGCTGTTACAGAGAGGGGCTGTTACACATACGGGCAGAGTCACAGAGGGGGTGTTACACAGAGGGGGTGTTACACAGCGGGGCTGTTACAGAGAGGGACTGTTACACAGATGGGGTGTAACACAGATGGGGTGTAACACAGACGGGGGTGTTACACAGAGGGGGTGTTACACAGAGGGGGTGTTACACAGAGGGGCTGTTACACAGACGGGCAGAGTCACAGAGGGGGTGATAGTACACAGAGGGGGTGCTATACAGAGGGACTGTTACACAGAGGGGCTGTTACACAGAGGGGCTGTTACACAGAGGGGCTGTTACACAGATGGGCTGTTACAAAGAGGGGGTGATATTACACAGAGGGGCTGTTACAAAGAGGGGGTGATATAACACAGAGGGGGTGTTACACAGAGGGGGTGTTATACAGATGGACTGTTACACAGACGGGCAGAGTCAAAGAACGGGTGATATTACACAGAGGGGGTGTTACACAGAGGGGCAGAGTCAAAGAGGGGCTGTTACACAGAGGGGCGATAATACAGAGGGTCTGTTACACAGAGGGGCTGTTACACAGAGGGGCTGTTACACAGACGGTCAGAGTCAAAGAGGGGCTGTTATACAGAGGGACTGTTACACAGAGGGGGTGTTACACAGAGGGGCTGTTACACAGAGGGGCTGTTACACAGACGGGCAGAGTCAAAGAGGGGCTGTTATACAGAGGGACTGTTACACAGAGGGGCTGTTACACAGACGGGCAGAGTCACTCAAAGAGGGGATGATATTACACAGAGGGGGTGTTACACAGAGGGGCTGTTACACAGAGGGGCTGTTATACAGACGGGCAGAGTCACAGAGGGGGTGATAGTACACAGAGGGGGTGTTACACAGACGGGCAGAGTCAAAGAGGGGCTGTTACACAGAAGGGCTGTTACACAGAGGGGCTGTTACACAGAGGGGCAGAGTCAAAGAGGGGCTGTTACACAGACGGGCAGAGTCAAAGAGGGGGTGATATTACACAGAGGGGCTGTTACACAGAGGGGCTGTTACACAGAGGGGCTGTTACACAGACGGGCAGAGTCAAAGAGGGGGTGATATTACACAGAGGGGCTGTTATACACAGAGGGGCTGTTACACAGACGGGCAGAGTCACTCAAAGAGGGGATGATATTACACAGAGGGGGTGTTACACAGAGGGGGTGTTACACAGAGGGGCTGTTACACAGAGGGGCTGTTATACAGACGGGCAGAGTCACAGAGGGGGTGATATTACACAGAGGGGCTGTTACACAGACGGGCAGAGTCACAGAGGGGGTGATAGTACACAGAGGGGGTGTTACACAGACGGGCAGAGTCAAAGAGGGGCTGTTACACAGAAGGGCTGTTACACAGAGGGGCTGTTACACAGACGGGCAGAGTCAAAGAGGGGCTGTTACACAGAGGGGCTGTTACACAGAGGGGCTGTTACACAGAGGGGCTGTTACACAGAGGGGCTGTTACACAGAGGGGCTGTTACACAGAGGGGCTGTTACACAGGGGGCTGTTACACAGACGGGCAGAGTCAAAGAGGGGGTGATATTACACAGAGTGGGTGTTATACAGAGGGGCTGTTACACAGAGGGGCTGTTATACAGACGGGCAGTCAAAGAGGGGGTGATATTACACAGAGGGGCTGTTACACAGACGGGCAGAGTCAAAGAGGGGCTGTTACACAGAGGGACTGTTACACAGAGCGGCTTTCACACAGACGGGCAGAGTCAAAGAGGGGCTGTTACACAGAGGGGCTGTTACACAGAGGGGCTGTTACACAGAGGGGCTGTTACACAGAGAGGCTGTTACACAGAGGGGCTGTTACACAGAGGGGCTGTTACACAGGGGGCTGTTACAAAGACGGGCAGAGTCAAAGAGGGACTGTTACACAGATGGGCGGTTGCACAGAGCGGCGGCTGCACTCACCACAGAGCGGCGGCCCAACCAGGTTGGCCAGCCCCTGTGCCAGCAACAGCAGGCCGTAGGCGCTGGTGAAGTTGTCGATGCTGATCAGGCTCACAAGTATGGTCGGCGCCAGCGTGTAATTGGCCGAAATGCAGAACCCGAATACCGATGACACCTGCGCCACCGGGGGGGGGGGGGGGTCACAATGAAGGACTCTTGGAAAACTAAACTGCGGTCACCAGGTCTACAGCATATCCCGAAAGTTCGCCATACCGTTGCTCATGTCACAATAACGGGCGGATCCGGGGGGGGGGGGACGCATAGGGGCCATGCCCCCCCCCCTTGGCGCTGAAAGGGGGGCAACACATCTTCTGGCATCTTCTTTCATCCGTGTTATTCCTCACAGTCGGCCAATTTTTCAGAATTATTTTCACCATTTTCATCGACGCTTAGGCCATCAACGTTTTTTGACATAAAATTACTTTAAAAACTACTTGGGTTAGTTGGTTAACCGTACTTTGGTTAGGTCAAGTCAAATGTCAAATGTCAGGTGACCAGAGGTCATCAAAGGTGAAATGTGGGTGAAATGTTGTCTGTTTCAACATTTATTGACAAACTGGCGCATAACTCGGGGAAGAATAGAACTACAGCACCGCGAAAAAAAGCGCATTCTATAGCTCGTCAACGTTCCAAAGTCCTCAGACTTGACCTAACATCAACGGTTTAACCTCCAGAGCACAACTAGTTTAACCCGTGCCGGGCCGGGGAGGGTTGGAGTGGACAGTGGACCCCCCTCCGCCCCTCTATTGAGCTGTTTTAACCCGCGCCCGGCTGGGGGTCCTGGATTTCCACGCCCTGCAGGGGGGGTGTTTGAACACCCCCCCCCCCCCTTTGTAACTCGGCTCCTGGGCCACGTAGCGATACGCGGAAGGCGGCGTTCGAAAGAGCGTAAAAAAAATAATGACGAAATCACTTCGGTCAATTTTTTGGTCAGGTCAAAGGTCAGGTCACCAGAGGTCATTGAAGGCAAAATTTCGCCGATTTTCAGGTCGAATGTCGAAATTTTCCAAGAAGCCAACGCATAACTCGGGAACCGATAGAGCTACAGCGCCGCGGAAAAGCGCATTCCATAGCCCTATGAACGCCCTTTCTGAGTAATTCTCTCAGGTTTGACCTAACGTCAACGGTTTTGCCTGCAGGTGGCAAAAACTGCAAAAATAGCCGATTTTTTCGGAAACAGTTTTCTGCAATAACTTTTGACCCAAGCCTTGTACGAGCTTACTTTCTGTTTTTGAGATATTCGCGAAAAACCACAAGGGGGGGGGGGGTTCAAACACCCCCCCTCCCAGCACGGCGCGGGTTAAAGAACCTTTTTACTGTAATAATTATTGACTCACGAAAGTTATGACATTGTTTTTTCAGTACTGTGCTCCTCTCGTCGAGATGCGTCGAATGAACTAAAATTTGACATTCAAATGTCATTTGGGAAATTTGAGCTCAGGTCCAGGTCATGACCTGACTGGTAAAGGTCATGTTGCATATCAGTCGATTTGTATCGTCAAACTGAAATCATCTAAGGTGTTTTCATCGCTCAGGCATGTCGCATGTCTCTATCAGAAGTTATTGAAAAAAAACTGCTGGAGGCCTTCCATGACCTGACATGACCTCAAAGACATAACGAGGGGTCGTGGGTGGCAATTTTCCGATTAAGTGTGTCATTTTTAATTGTTTTATGATGTTTAAATTCGTTAACTTTGACATTTGTCTACCTATAAAAAGAGCCATGCATGCCCTGATTTTCTCCCATTTCCTTAGACCTAATGGAAGGGTCGCAAAATTGTCCTCAACATAGCAATTTCGAGACTTACATTTTATATATACAGTTACACACTGTTTGTCTTATCAATCGCTGAAGTTATAAAGGAATCGTTCAGTCGGTGTATCTATGGTGAGCATTTGCCTGCTCCGTAGCTCAGTTGGTAGAGCACCGGACTCCCCGCATTGTCTTCGCTTGCGTTTTGTTCGCCGGCCGAGCCGGAGAGAAAGTTAGCGAGTGAAGGTCATTCAAATTTCAAAAACTCAATGAAAATGTCACTGGGGTCGAAAATATTTGAGTAGGTAGGTATACCATTCATTAACTTGGGGGGGGGGGGGTGAACGTAGGGGAAGTTGGGGGAACGCCGAATACTTTTTTTCTGACGCCCGTAGCACGCAAGGTAGACAACATAAGCTATTCTTGTTGGCGTCATTCGAGAGGCCAGTCTTTTGTCTTTCAAACATACCAGGCGCATTTGATGAATTCGCATACCGTTAAGTGCAAAAACTAAAAATATCTAAGAACTGACTTTTTCGGCGTTGCCCCGGACTGCGGGGAAAGCCGAAAATGGGATAAATGATCTACGAGGAATGCAGACATTGATGTTTTGCCAATTTATCTCAAACTTTATCCAAAATTCATCAAAGCTGACACGCGTTATAAGAGCTTGAGGACGCTTGGTGCACACTGGAAGTTATAATTGTGTGATATAATAAAAAAAATGCTAGGTAAATCATTCCTTATAGTTAACAGGCCGTTGTGCCGGCTGAAAGTGTAATTTGTTTGACTAAAAATACGCGTTGCTATTCTACAGCAGTTAAGTCCACGTAGCGTGCTTTAACGTGCGTAATTGCACGTTTTCGGCATTACCCCAGCCAGCCATACTTTCATTTGCAGGCCCATAACTTTTAAACGTGCTGTATAAATTTCAAATAGGCAGTACACTTATGCAAAGACATGCTGAAGATTACTTGACCGAATTGGCCAGACAAACGGTAGCATAATGAGTAAGAAATGCAGCTTCAAAGGCGCATGTAGTTCAAGGGAAACGTACCTTGAAAACGCTTTTGGCGCCCTCACAGCCGAAGTATTCCAAATGACAACTCGTAACAAACATGCGATAATTGTAGTCACTTAAGCTTCAGAGCATCACTGAGACGTGGCATCCATGTCGTACGGCTTTAGAAATATCTCGAATTTCGGCTTTGCCCCAACTCCGGCATTGCCCCAACTTCCCCTATCGTTACAATACGCTGTTCATTACGCGAGTAACTAATGAATAAAAAATGTATGAGTTCATCCTTACTCCACCCGTTCTCCCTCTCCATAAAAAAGAGAGTTAATTGTGTTGCATTTTATCTATATGCAGAAAAATAGAGGCGTCAAATGATATGGCCGAATATCAGCTACCCTTGCTGTGTAAGCAATGGGGCTTGCAATGGGGTATGACAAGTGGGGGCAATGGCCCCGTCCAGCGCCCATAAAGTGGGCACCACTCGTGCGACCTGCCGACCACTGTTCTAAAGCCATAAAACACCGTGAATGTTTTAAACTTGACGATACGGATCGACTGGTATAGGTTTACAACATGTTTTATTTCTGGTGAGGTCATGAACTTGACCTCAGGTAAAATTCTTAAATTAATTTTTGTTAAGTCAAATTATAGTTCATTTGTCGCATTATGACGAGAGAAATACTATATCCCGGAAAAATAAACGTAATACCGCTGAGCTTAGGTAGGTTGAATCTGAAATCATTATTTAGAAAGAGTTATAAAAGATCCGTCGAACGTGTCTTTTTTGGTCATTAAATATCAGGTATGCCGCCCCCCTCAGATGCCAAGTGCCGCCCCTATGAGTGCAAAATGCCGCCCCTAATTGTAATTGCCGACCCAGTGAAAATCCCTTAAAATACGCCCTGGACCAAACTATTCAACACCAACTCCCTCGGGTGGTTTATACTTCATATTTTACTTCTTTGCATAGAAAACTGATCAGCGAAGGCACTTGTGTAATTAAAATGAAGCATGAAGACGCACACTGGTCGGAAACGCCCTCACGAGAGGCCACGGGCGATTCCGGAGTTTCGGATTATTCTTTATATAGATCGATTTGAAATTGATCAAATTATTATACTTAGGCCAAAAAAACTAATCCGGGTGACCAAAAATAACTGTAATCAGCCCCCGAAGATGGGGTATCCCAGAACTCGGAAACTGACGCGGAGCAAGAGGTTTCTTGAGCCGGATATTCAGAGTCTTATTGCTGATAGACACCAAATTGAAATCCCACATATTATGCATCAAAATGTTCGTTATGAAGTTGCCGACTGGTCAGTGCAAAATTTTTGGTATACTTTTTCCCTAACTAAGATTTACTGTAGCTTTTTATGAAGGCTCTCCTACAGTGATTCTGGAATATAACTGCAAAGTTTAGCTAAGGAAACAACAGGTAGTCCCATCTAGTTCCACTCTGATTTTTTTGTGAGATGAAGCAGGATTTAAATTTACACCAGGGCAACATAAAAGCTAACTGCGCATATTTGCGCAAAATTTGCAGGAGCCGCTCTTCCTACCCAACTACCGCCCGCCCCGCCCCAGTTTCGGCTCGGCCGCCACGCCCGGCTTACGCTGACCTGTGTGGCCTGCACGCATCCATGCGTAGTCGACTGGTCATTAAGAACAGATGCGCTTGAGTTTATGAATTTTGTGAAAAGCGCGTTTTATGTATGCATTTATGTATGTATTGACATCAAAAGCCTTCCACATATTGCGTGGCGATTACGGCTTGCATTTAGAGAGCCTTGCTATTGACAACCATCACTCGGCTGAAGAAAGTGGAAATTGAAACTGTTGTCACCGACCGCTGCTGAGCGGTACCCGCCGAGTCGCCGGCCGGCCCGCGCGGCTGCCGAGCCGGCCGCTGCGGCCACGTGGCGCCCGAGGCGTGTCTGACCTGGTGAGGTCATGCGCGGGGAGCGCGCTGATTGGTCGCTGGTGTCCCGCGCCGCGGGGCACCAGCGAGCTGATCTCGGGCGGGTGAGTCGTAGGCGGGTTCAGTCTATGTGTGCGTGTAACGCGGTCTGTTGGGGGTACGGAGTGAAGCTGGATTCTGGAGTGAATTGTGAGAAGTGACAATAAATATCCAGTGGTTGAACTCAGTGGCTGTGAGAGAAGTGAGAGACGGAAGTGACGGAAGTGCGAGGACTGACGGCAGGCCACAAAAGCGTGTTACTGTGACCCGTCCTACTTCCGGGGACCTCGGCTTTTCTCACCTCGTTGGGGTGTGTGAGGGGGCGGCCACCGGTGTTTCGCCAGCGAAAACCGAGGGCTTAACTCTTTTCCCGCGTTTCGCCATCGA